CTCAGTATGTGATGTTAAATAAAGCTTTTTCTAAAGGATGTTTCACCACCTCCCCCAGCGGCATCCAAGCCCAACACGAGCCTTCCCGCCTCTGAGATGGCCCTCTCCCTCCTGGACACTATCTGTTCCTCCGGGGGGAGGATGGCACACGACACAGCGGAGACCCTCTGGGACCGAGCCCGGAGCCAGAGGCGGTGCACGGCCCGTCCCACCTGGAAGGAGGTGTGGGGTCCCCACATTCCGGGTCAGGGGACCAAGTCTCCGAGAAGCCCAAGCCGGCCCCCGAAGCCACACAGAAGCCTTCCCTGTCTCTGCTCCTGCTCCCCTCCCCGTCTGTCTTCATGGCGGATACGCTCTGCTCAGGAAGCTACCCTGTGCCACCAAATAGTTACACTGTTGTTGTGTTGCTGTTGCTGTTTTAAGTGAATCGGTCGCCCAGCTCCGTTAAAGCCGGCAGGCCGCAGGCCCCCGAAGCCAGCACCGCAGACAGCCCGCACTGACAGGACCTGTCTGGATCTTAGCAAAACAGAGCTCTACCTCGGAGGGCGAGGGGCTGGCTTTAAGAATGTTATCGTTTCACTGAAGGAAAAAAAAAAAAAAAAGAAGACGACAGGCCCAACTGTTTGGTCAGCAGCGAAATCAATTTATAAATGGCCCTTCCCGTGTGTCCTGTAAACTTTCCCTTCTCCAGATTCTGAGGGTCTGGGTTCCGGGAACATTTTGTTTAAAAAAAAAAATCATACGTTAAGTAAAATGAGGAAAACGTTCTGTCGTCAACATCGTAAGCGAAGTGTACATTCCCCGTGAGATACGTGACTCGTTTCCATAAAACTGTTCCCGGAGTGTTAATGCGTGAGTCCCGAGGGCAGCCACTGCCACGCCCGGGGTGACCGTGCCACGTTGATACAGAAGCGACCCCGTGGGTTGTAAGGGACCTCTGTGTACCTTGTGACAGGCACTGGGGGCTGGGGGCTGGGGGGGACAGAGCAAAGAGAATTACTGAGTGACTTCTGTGGGTCCTGAGCTCAGCCCGTCCCTCCCTCCATGTGCTCTCCCCGGGAGCTCCAGGGGCCCAGGCGCATCTGGGGTCCCGCTGGCAGTTACGGTTCGGGGCCAACGGCTTCGCAGAGAAGCCCTGGGCTTGAATCCCAGCTCCGGCACTGGGGACCGGGGACAAGACGTGTCACGGGGCCAGACCAGGGCGGGGTGAGGGAGGCACTTCCTCTAGCGCCACGATTAAGGGGGCGCTGGAAACTCAGCCATCAAGACAGAAACTGTACTTCTATATTAAAAAAATTCATAACGAATGCAAAACCCCCACGATAAACAAAATAGCAGAATTTTTCAGGAAGGACAGGACCTGACCCTCCCCTGCCCGAACCACCTTACTCGCCCTGAGCCAGACCCGTGTCCCGTCTCTGCTTACAGATGTCAGATTTTACTCTGCATGGATTTATGTTTGCATTCATTTAGACCTTTCTTCTTGACGCCTGGGTTTTTTCAGCACCTCCTTCAATTCTGGGCCCGAGGCGAGGGTTTCGCTCCCCTCCCCTTGCTCCCTGCCCCCGGGGACGGTCTCATCCTCCGAGCCTGGTGTTCTCAGAAACCCCAGCACCAGCCACGGCTTCCGGGGGCCTGCGGCCTCAGAGCGACGGTTTGTTTGCTCACCCACACACGGTGTTGTGCGTTCACATGTGCAAAGACCGGGGTCAGGTCCTGAGACGCCGGTGCCCCCCGACCCCGAGCTTGCAGTGTGGTGGTGCAGACAGGACAGGATGTGGCAGGGACCCCAGTGGGGACAGGCCTGCCTGCAGCACATATGACTGAGCAGACAGGAGTGCGTGCGGGGATCCACCCTGGACCAGCGGGAGCCCCGGAAGCCTTCCCAGAGGAGGCGACACTCTCCCAGGCCTCGGGGAACTTGACAAAGGGGAGAGACAGCACATGTCTGAGATAAGTAACAAAATGATTGGCTTGAAGGAATCTCTGTGAGCAACGCCTCATGTCACTGAGGCAGAGGGAGGGCTGTTACAAGGTTCTGAGACGGTTCTGGAAGATGGACACATCCTTCCCTTTGCAGGGAATTTCTGTTTTCTTTCTGGCTGATGCACATGCACACGCGTGCACACACACACACAAGCCCCCAGCAGCCGTCTCTCCTGCCCAGGATCCAGGGGCCATGGCGGCCTTCCTGCCCCGAGGTCCCCGCTCAGGGGCACTTGCTGTCCGGTCACGTGCCCTGGGTCCTCCTCTCCCCCAGTCTCTGCTCTCTGCTGGTGCCCACTCCCCACCCACACTGCAAAGGCACACTGAGCCAGGGCGTCCGCATGTTACTCGGGCCTCATTTTTAGGGGCTGTAAGTCCAGAACTCTCCCATAGAATTCTTAAATCCTTCCTGAGCCCCTCCTGCCTGGGAGCAAGCCCCCAAATCCAATCAAAGAATGCTGCCCAGAAAGTCAATCTGCTTGAGCGAAAACTAGACGCTCACACCTCATCACCCATCCCAAGGGTGAAGGAGCCCCGGGCAGCCACAAAGTGGTCGAGGATTGGTACATGTGGACGTGGAGAGATGCCCGTGTACCGTTAGGCTGAAAAAAATCAGGCTCCAAACTCGCAGTCCAATATGATTCCAATAGCTTTTTCAAAGCGAGTGTTTATATGAAGAGACGCCTGGGGTGGGGAGGGCTGGGGGGCCGCCGAACGCTGCCCGCACTTACTTAGGACGGGAAATTGGGAGGGGAAATTTTTTTTTTAAAATACATCTTTACGTTTTTTGGGAATCGAATGTTCTACACGGGCATCTGTTATCTTGGCACCAACAACAGCAAAAGCCCAGCTAAGCTGTTTGCATTTAGCACCGTGGGTGAGTAAGAAGCAGCTGATTTTCTAGGTAAATCCTGATTCTCTCTTGTAACATAAGCCTCGTGATGGAGTTACCCGTCTCTGTTCGAGTTGCGCACTTCCTAACTGACCTGGACTGGAAGCCAGACGACCGGTTTGTCCCGAGGCTCACGGACCCGATTTCTGACTGTGTTCGTGCCCCCCCCCGGTGAGCGAGTGGGTGGCCACCGAGGTGCCACGTGGCTCAGAAAGTACTGCTCTGAATCTCGGAGCCTCTCTGCACGTGGCGTCTGGTCGTATCGAACCCCGTGCAGGCCTAACTTCTTAACGCAAAGGTCCAGCTTGACACCCACTGAAACCAGACCTTCCAGAACCTCCACAGTTTAAAGGAAAAAAAAAAAGGCATTCTCGTTGTGCGCCTGTCTGTCTCCTTTCCATCACTCTTCATTGCACGTAATATCGGAGATGATTTAGAGGAAGTAAATATTAAAGAGCAGGTTGCCGATGAAACGTGTAAAATCGGGGCAAAGAGGGGAGGTCATCAGAACACGTCCACTGACTCTACAGAATCCCGCACAGCCGCTGGAGCGCGTCGTAAAGCGGGCTCCGAAACGTATTTGCCCAGTGCGTTTACCCCCCCACCGTGAGACCCCGGAGCGGTGGACGGATGCTAAGGATCTCCATGCGGCGGGTAGACCCCGGGGGCCCGCAGACCCCTGCCAACACTTGGCCAAACCTCCCAACAGATCCGTCTTTCCCTCGCCCCACACGTGCAGACACGGGCACGCATACGCGGCCGCCGCGGGCACACGCACACGTGTGCACACACACGCAAGCCCCGGCCAGACAAGCGCGTGTTTATGTCCGTGGTCAGGAGCATGAACAGCACTTTGGCCCCACTTCGCGCGGGTGATTCATGACCCTGGTCCGTCTGGGCCAACCTGGGGTGGTGGCCGGAGGCCCCCGGGGAGGCTGGACGCTGCCGGAGAAACGATGGAGGGGATGTGGCCCGTGGGGGGATGTCTCGATTTATCCGGAGCCCCGTTTACAGCCTGTCCATTGTGCCCCGTGTCCCTCCCCCCCCGCCCTGAGCAGGTCCAGCTGGAAGGAGACAGCGCTCGGAGCTCAGTGGGCGCAGACAGGACTAAAGTAAACACAGTGCTCATCGGCAGGCAGTTAGCAGCCTTTGGACAGATGATCAGCGTTGAGCTGGTGACGGACCACACACACGAGGCCCCCTCGGACCACACAGGCATCCGCCTGCCCGGCCTCTGCCTACGCCACACGCACACAAGGCTGGCCTCGCCTCACCGCGCCTTTCCCCCGCGCCACAGGAGATTTGGAGAAGCGTCTAGAAACGCCTGGATGTTGCAGACCCATGGCTGACCCTGGCGTTTCCAGGGGCCCCCGCTGGAGCCCCCTCAAGTCAGGCCCTGCGACAGAGACCACTGGCCGCGAGAAGCCGAGGGGGCAGGGTCTCGGGGTCACAGGCCCTCTGGGCCTTGAGGCCTCAGTCTCCCCCATCTGTGAGCTGGGGCGCTCACAGCAGCTGGTGTGCGGGGTGTGTGGACCCAGCCTCCCGGGGCCATGGCTCACGGACCCCTCGGGCCCCCGTGTGACTCTTACCGTCCCCCAGCAAGTGGCCCACATCCCGCTGAGGCCGGTGCCCTGAACACCGGCCACCCTTTACCAGGCGGCCGCCGTCCTGCCCCCACCCAGCTCCCAGCGGGCAGTGACCTCTGCAGACCAGTCCCTTCAGGTGACCCTCAGACACAGAGGCCATCTGGCACACTTGAGGCTGTGAGCTGAAAGCCCCACCCAGTGGGACGCCCCTGGGGAGCGCTCGCTAACGGCTGTCCCTCCCCCCCCCAGCACGTTCGCAGAGACCCTGCCCCTCCCGTGAGGACTCCCCCACTTCCTTTGGCTGGCACGAGGTGGGCAGGTGCTCTTCCCCGTCGGGGCCCCGCTTTCAGACACCCCAGGGTGAGGCCCTGACCCCCCCGGGCCACTCTGCCATCTCCAGAGGGCTCCCGAATCCCAGGCCACCTCCCTAACGGGGAGCCAGGCGAATAAAGCCCCTGCCCGCTGGCCAAGGCAAGGCTGGCGGTGGTTTAGGCTCCAGACGCGCCTAGCAAGGGGGCCCATCTACTCAGACTCACCAGGCTCATCGTGGAGAGGTGTTGCCCCCAGGGCGATGGGGGGAGTGCAGGCCGAGGCCAGTCTCCATCCCGGTGACACCTCAGAGCACCGCTCCGGGGTGGGGTGTGTGGCCTCCGGCCGCCCACAGCACCATCTGCAGGCCTTGCCTGGGGCCGGCGGCTGACCGGGGCCATCTGTCTTCATTACGCGGGTTTATTTGGGGAGGCGAGCGATGGGGGGCTGTCATGGCTGAGAGAAGGCTTGATCTATCGGCAGACACGCTTTGAAGCTCCCTTCAAGGGTGTAGCTGTGCAGATCGGAGGGGGGCGGATGGCAGCCCTGGGCGCACCCCCATACAGAAGGGTCTGCAGGCCGGGGGCCCCCCGGGAGCAGGCCTCCAGGGGAGAAGCGGGCGAGAGCCGCGCCTCCGCCCACCACCCAGGCCACTGTTTCTGAGGTCCGATGCGTTTTTAACGCCAGGAGAGGTCTCGGTGCGGCTCGAGGACGTAACGGTGAACATCAGGGCAGAGGCCTCGTAATCTGGAGGGGGAAGCACACAAGAGGCAGAGAAGGAGATGAGATTCTCAGAGAGTAGGGAGAACACAGGGGAAAACGGGGCTGGGATGCGGGGAGGCTGGGCAGGCGACTTCCTGGCTGGTGGTCAGCAGCCCTGGGCCCGGGCTCTGTTTGGATTTAGATCTCAGAAACTGCCTCCTGAGAATCCGTTCTCCATTACCACGGGTCATCCTTCAAGGTCCAGCTCCCCGGTGCACCAGTCCTCAGTGTCCTCATCTGCACAATGGGTATGATAAGGGTACCGAGCTCTGAGGACCGCAGGAGGTCACACACGAAGCCCCAGTGAGACCCGGAGAGCCGGCCACAGTGCCCGTCCCCGCGGGGCGACCCTCCGTGTTCAGTCCGTGTGGGGCATAAACGCACGCTGGGGAACATCTGCCACCCTGAGCAGAGAGGAAAGATGCCGTCCTGTCCCGACTCCTCGGGATGGTGTGAAATTATCAGTGAATAGTCGTCACAAGGGTAAGGGAGGCTTCCCACAGAGGAGGAACCCTGAGGTCACTAAAATGGGCAGGGCTGTGCTTTACAAAGACACAGAGGGAATGGACTGTATTAGGGTAATAGAGGGAAGACCTGGCCGGAGGGGAGAGAATTCACCAGAATATACTTTCAGGACCAGTGGTCAGGACCCGTGGGAGGGTGACGGCTTTCATCCCAGTGCCCAAGCTGGCTTGACCTTCCCTTGGGGCTGGGGTCCAGGCTGCATCCCACGCGAGGGGTGACCAAGGCAAGTCACGAATCTCCCTGCACTCGTCCGGGAGAGGGGTCTAAAACCCCCATCCGCAGGAGGAGGGCGAAGACGGAATTCTAAAAGTCGAAACAGGTGCCTGATACAAAACGGGTGTATCATCTTCCCATTCCCCTGGGTTCCCCCATCTCCCAAGTTTTCCTTTTCTTAGAAGACCACTAAGAGGTAATGCAGAGTCACTTAAACGCTGGAGAGATAGGCAGTGAGGACGCGGGCATTAAACTGAGGGTCAGGCCTTGTCCCCGGCGCCCGTGGAAGCAGATGAGGGTTCGGACCCGAAGCCAGAAGCATGCGCTCTGGGCCTGGCGCTCCTTCCCACGTGCAGGCCTTCGTGCACCCGAGGGAGCTGCGAGCCTGCCCAAAGCAGGGCCTGGGGCGGAGAAGGAGGAAGCACGGCCTCCAGAGAGGAAAGTCCCCGTGTCTTCGGGATCAAGGGCACAGCGACACCTGCCACTCGCTGAGCGCCGACTCTGGGCCCGGAGCCTCGGTTTACAGAGCCCTCAGGTGACCGGGCTCGGGACCCGCCGTGCCCTTCGTTCACCGCCTGCTGAACCTGGGCATCGAGAAACCGCGACCCTTCCCTGGCTGGGTGCCCGAGCTAGAGGGCGGGGGTGGGGGTGGGGGGTCGTTCCCACTTCCCAGCAGATGTTCGGTGCCGAGCAGGCCGTGAAACAAACCCCAGGTCCCTCCAGCGCGGGAATCACATGTGCCTGTCAGGGCCCAGCGCAAGCATAACACAGACCCTCCGCTCCCGCCCTGGCATGGGAGGCGTTTCGACTCCCGCTGCGAAACATGAAGGTCGTGACCCACCGGCTTCCCCAGCTGCCCTTTCCTCACCAGGGGAAAATCTGACAACAGACGTGTTATTTATGAAGCTAATGCAATCCAGAGGCTCTCGGCGCACGGGAGGGAGTGGGAGAGAGCGCGGGAGAGGGGTCTGGCCCCACAGAAACCAGTTTCACTGGCTGCATTGTGAGCAGGACGCACACAGCAGGGTAGGGACGAGGCTCACCACGACCAGCAGCCCGGTGGCTGGAGAAGCTCCAGCAACCAACACATCTCCACCCAGGGGCCGCCGGTCCCGGCACGTTTTCCCAGGGCGGCCGGGGAGGCACGCAGGACACATCCCCTGATCAGTTCTCTCCTCGGAGTCGTGCAAATGGGAGGGAGGAGCCCCCTGGGGCGAGCGTTTCTGTGGGGCAAAGACGGTCAAAGCCTCTGGACTGCCACGTCATTCTCATGCAGGGACTTTGCAACGGGCTCTTCCTGTGAGGAAAGCTGAGTTGGTCGCTGTGTTTTTCTCCAAGGACATTTTTTCTTTTCCCTCCCTATAAGTGTATCGTCTCCAAAGACTCGAAACGTCACGGAATCGACATCAGACAACGATTGGACGCAGGGATGCTCCTTTGTTTCTCCCCATTTCACTGAATGGGGATGACGAGCAGGCGTGGAAAGACACAGACGTTGTTCACAGGGACCTGGTGTGACGCGGGCCCCCCCACCCCCCCACCCCGCTCACTGGGTCTGTGATCCTGGTTGGGTCACTTGACATCTCCTTCGCTGGTGAAACGGGAGGGGACTGGGGCTTAGCCGCACAAGGCGGGCTAATTAGACACGAGGACACAGATGTCCCGGCAGAGCCCGACAGGGAGCAGCCTACAGGCACTCGTGACTCTCAGTGTCACATCTCCGGCTGCAGACCTGTGACAAAGGGATCACACACACAGATTATGGAGCTGCCTCTTGACAGCTGTGTGACCTTGGGCAAGTTACTCAACCTCTCTGCGTGCCTCGGTTGGTTTCCTGGTCTGCAAAATGGGGAGGACCTATGGTGGGGAGAAGGGTGTGAGTTAATAGATGCAAAGCACTGACAGCACCCCTGGGTCCTGGCTAACTGGCATTTATTGCTGCCATTAGAGGGAGAGTTGCCACACCCACACCTTTAAAATCGCTTAAAACTGTTTCTTTACACACACACACACACACAAGCGTGGCAAAAACAATAGCAAAAGGGAAAACCTTCTGATAAACCCTATTTCAAGGCACTTCAGTCACGCGTCCATGTTTTTGTGTCTTTTGTCACAAAACAGCCCCTCGAGCTGCTCGTCTCGCAAATACGTGGGCTTGCAAACAGGCTGCGTGTGGCCTGGGTGAGCTGTCCCCTTCGTGGCGAGGATCCCCGGCAGATCTCGACGGTCCCACATGAGGGGGCGCCTGTGTGCACGGGCAGGTGCCGTGTGGACGCGGACGCTGGGCATCACGGAGTCCACTGCGGGCAGCGTGTGTCCAGCATCCACCCTGCTGTTTCCTGGGGATTTTGGTCTGCGTGGGGTGGGGGCCGATCTCTGCTCGCAGCCGGGAAGACAGGTCCTCCACCAGCGCCTGGCCGGGCTCTGCTTCCTGTTTACTTCAGAGAGAGAGGCTGGGGCCTGCGGGGTCTGTAACCAGCCCTGGGTCTGAAACCAGCCAGGCCCCATGAGCGGCTATCGCCCCATCGGCCCAGATAGGCCGCGGGGCTCTGCCGTCCGTCAGCTGTCTTCCGTCGTCCTTGAAAGTTCCCTGTCCTGGAATGTCTTCTCGTGAGGTGGATCCAGCCCCCGTGGCACGGCTCACGGTTTCTGCAGGGCTCAGCTACGCGTTTCACCCTTATTTGCAAAATTAGGACATACATACTCTTTTGAAACGACTTAAAATTTCACATTGAAAATTTCCGAAAGAAAATCATCAAAGGAGAAAGGAGAGAGGAATGATCGCCCCACCCCAAACCTCATCACCGAGAAATAACGCTTTGGTCAAATTTCATTCAACGTCTGTCTGCGCAAATTATACCCATAGAGACCCGTGCGTCCTAGGAGACAAAAAGGGGACGGACCCGACACGCGGCTGCTGGCCTGCTTTTGCTTCTAGCTCAGTGATAAGTGATTTCACAGCACCATCAACAGCACCGCACCTCGAATCTCCCTGGGTAAGCTCCCCAGGTGAGCAGAAGGTGCCCACATGCAGAACACAGATGTGTCTCAGCAAGGAGTGACCGAGTTTCCGGCCACCGACAAGCTGCACGTGGGTCCCATTCCTGCCTCACACGGCGTATCACCTGACCCTCTGCCAATCTATCGGTCTGCCAATGTCTTAAAAATAAAAAGTACTTTGCACATACTTACCAGCTGCTTACGCACCTGTGGACTGGCACATCTATTTAAACCCCGGGTCTTTGGGCTGCAAGTGCGGCTTTCTAAATATGGGTCTAGCCCCACCCCACACCTCCCTGAACCGGCTCGTCTCTTTCTCTCAAGAGATGGTCCTGCCTCTGGTGTTTGGGCGCTCCTGTAGATGGCGAGGGCCGGGGGGCGGCGGGCTCACCACCGCCTGAGGGTCCGAGGGTTCCCAGCCCTGCCCGGGAACCGCGCTGGTCCCTCCCGTGAACAGCACCTCGAGCGCCAGAGGATGCCGGAAGCACGTGGCTAATTCCATCTTTGTTCCAGTCAAGCTCACAGAGACACAGAAGGCTAAGGAACTTGCTGAGGGTCGCAGAGCAGGACAGCGGCAGAGAGAGTAGCTGAGCTGTTTTCTCCGGCCCGTGGAAACTCACAAAGGACACGTGAAGCTGGTTAGACACCTGACTTTCAAAAGAAAATACTTTCTCAAACTATAGACAGATCGATAGTTCCTCAAAACCTTCCTCAAAGACTCTCCTACAGACGTTTTTCTCAAAACGAGAGCCACTGTCCCAAACCTGTTGAAGTGAGAGCCTCGGGCGTTGTGACCACGGCCCTGCTGGGTGCTGGGGCTCCTGGGAGGCAGGAGGCCTGGCCCAGCCTCCAGGATGTCCCTGTTGACTCAAGATGTCACCGGTCCACAAGGCAGAAGTGGCTACAGCATAATTTAATTGATATAGACCCAAATTAGGCCACGGCATTCACCCTTATTTTCTTTCCCTCCGCGAGCTGCTTTTAGACATTGGATTTTCTTCCTGCAGGGACGCCTTTGCGCAAAACAGGGGAACACACGACGTTACAATGACCGCATTCGCCTTCTCTCCCGCCCTGCCTCTCCAGCCTCGGCCACCTGCTTCCCAGCCGCCCCCCTCGCCTTCTTGT